GGAGAAGTTGGTTATCTATTTGTTGTTTTTGCAGTTTTGCTGCAGCTGTCCTGCAGTTATTTCTGAAAAAATGACCTTTATGCCCCTGTACTATTGTGTTGTTTATAAAAGAACCAATCCCTCTAGCACATTTCATACGTAAAAACAAATATCCAGTTTAAATGTTACAAAAATAAAATAGTAAGCAACACAACGATCAAAATAAAAAAAAAGACTTTTAAAATAACAATTAATAATAGGATAATATTATTTAAAAAATTGCAGTTGCTTAATGTCTCGAGATAATCTTTTCTCAGAAGAAACTCTGCACGTCTGATCACTATCGGCTGTGAAATCATTGAACCGATTTGACCACCTAAATAAGTTAAAGTTTTATGTCATTTTTCTTGGACATCTGTAAAATTATCTTCCATTGCCATGTAGCGGTCGCAAAGTAAGCATGAAATGTTGTAGTCTACAATAACAGTACAATACTATGGAGGTATCGGAAGTCCTCGAGCTTTAAGTAAATAAAAAATAACTGTGAGGTATAAGGTTCTTTTGGATAAGAAATTCGACCTTATGAAGACAATAAAACCACAAAGTACAAAACCTTAGCTGCAACATTAGTAATAAAGAATAGTAAAAATACTTAACTCAACTCAAGTTTTATGAAATTGTGAGGTTCCAAAGAATAGAGTATAAATCAACGAATCTGTCACTACAAGAAGACAATAAACCTTGAAAAATATGGGTTATTGGTTGCCTTTAAACCATATAATACCATGCTTGTATTTGTCAGATATTCATATCACCCAAAAAATTCATCCAAATGAACCTTATAGGGACTGAAAAGGAGAGGAACTTGGTTGCCTTAATTAGGATTTCACACGTGTCAAGAACCAATGACAACATATAGGCCATTTAAAAGAACTCATAAGGTCGAATTTCGTATCATAGATCTCCAAAACAAAAATAAAACATGCAATAAAAATTTACCATACATATTATACCAGTTGTCTCATCAGCTATCCAAGTGGGAAAAAATTCATGGAAAATAACTGAAAATAAAAGGTCCCTAAGATTGAGATTCAAAATGCACATTTCTTAAATAATCATTATGATTAACAAAAATTGTTTTCAAAACACATTGGAAATAAACTAATAATAAAGAAATAAACTAATAAAGAAACATACAACATTTTTTCAACCACTAACAATGACATCTGTGATTCGCTTTCTCATTTCTCTCATTTTCTCTGGACCCTCCCCATCCTTCGTACAAGACACAGGCAAATCACTTTTTGTTTATGATATAGCTTGTCCGAGGCGATATTTATATGTTTGAACAGGGACATGTGAATGATCTTCATCTGCCCTATTGAAGTCAATGTTACTGCTTGAAGGTTGCCGTCGAATATATTTGTAGAGAACCGTTGTATCGACCACAATCTGCACTTGTTTGCTAAATGGATGACAAAAGTGAAGCACATGTTAAAGTCACATACAACCACATCATTTCGTATTTGTGTATCACATCACCCGATGAATGCGATCATTATGCTATTCGACACACCTGCATTCACATGTGATTCATCAATCGCTTCAATGCAATTCTAAAGCACTTAACAAAAGCACTTGAATTGCTTTGCTCAATTAAGTTCACGTAAGTATGAAAATATTGATTTACCTTAAAATATGACGTAGAACATAACATGTCTTATGAGATTTGTATGGGGGTTCTTTTAAATGTTGGGTCCTCGGGTTTGATGATTTCTAATGATAAACTGACCTGAGCATTCAACCCAATTGAAAAATGTCTGTTGAACGTTTCAGATGAGTACTAAAATTGCTCCATGATTCCTCTCATAGATTCATTCCGTGATAAATTTTAGAGGTTTATTGCTAACACATCTCTGGAAGTAATCCTGGAGGAGTCATGAAGTTCATGATTTTGATACAGTTTTTCCAATAGATCGTTGAATACGGGCCGAGTCATTCAGACATTTTGCTAAATCTTGTTGGGTGATCTGCAAGTAACTCCCCAACTCACTTATCACCAATGTATTGAGATGTCGTGCAAGGAGAGCGAGCAATATATGAATTGTAGTACTCATACATTAAGCATAACACAACTGAAATTCTTCTTCTACATCTTTCTCTATTCATGCATTCATTGTTTATGCAGCTACCACGTATAAATAACTCCAAATTAGTTAGAGCATATTGAAGCAAAAATGTATCCAACAAATAAAATTAAAGCATATAACATGTCCCCTCCAGAAAAAAAATAAAGTGTTCAACAAATAAAATTAAATTCATGCATTTCGGTTGTCATGGAAATAACACAAGTAATTGAGCCTACTATCAGGGGTCATCGACATAAAGAACTCTCTCTTTATCGGGTCTTCAAGCAACTTCATAGAGAACAAGTAATAGGTCATGTTTTACTGAATTGAAGTTGCTTGTGATGTGTTAGGGCCATTGGTGCATGAAACAACTAACCCTCTCTCGCTTGGGGTCTATGCATGATTTCCCATGGCCATGACTCAACCATACATATGATCCAACTTTTCTTCAAGCTCAGGGTCAATGCCGTTAAATTTAATTTTTTTGACATTTGACACGACCACAAATTAATGAATAATTGATATGTTGATGTAACTGTAAGAAATATAAATGGTGATTGACATGATGTTTCATAAATTCTCATCTCCAATCTCTTAGCCCATCATTTCTTCGAAGCATCGATGATTCGCTTTATCGGATCTCAGCCCAAGTCCGTGGTTCCTCGCTTCTAACTCTTTCTATATTTTCCAGTTCTTTTTTAATTGATCTTACTTTTTTTTTCAATTGCATTCTATCATATTCCCTTCTTATGCTTTACTTGACTTTGTTATTATATTCTGCCAGCCCTCGTTGTTAAAATAGATGATTGGTCTATTTCCCAAATCCATTTCTTTAAGGTAGAGATCACAAAATATTAACTTAATCTCGTGACAGACGAACCAATTTCTTTTTTCTTAACCATCATGATACTAGCATGATTAGAGATAAGAAATATAAATTTGTGACATTCAGTAAATTTTTTTTTCATGAAACAGAGAAAGTAAAGTTTTAAAAACCCACATTTGAAAAGGTAACATAATAAAATAGATAATTCAACACCGCTCCAACACCACCAACAACACTATCACCACACTAACAATACACCACCGCCACCACTCTCATCTACACACGCACCACCACAACAACACTACCACAACCACCACAACCAACCCAACACGCTATCACCACTACTCCCATCTACACACATAACATCACCACCACAACCACCACCACAACCACCACAACCAACCCAACTCACCATCACCACCACACCATCTACACACTTCCACAACCACTACAACCAACCCAACACACTTCCACCACTCCCACTACACACACCACACCATCAACACACTTCCACCACTCCCATCTACACATACCACACCATCAACACAAAGCCACCCCTTCATCATCAACACCAACGCATCACCACCCCCACATCATTAACACCAAGCCACTTCCACCACACCATGAACACACCACCACCACTCCCATCTACACACACCAACACCACCACAACAACACTACTACAACCACTACAACCAACCCAACACACCACCATCACCTCTCACATCTACACACACCAACACCACCACAACAACACTACCACAACCCACCCAACACACCATCACCACCACCACCACCACCACCACAACCACAACCACAACCACAACCAACCTTCCCACAACAACCATAACCAACCCAAAACACCACCACACCACACCACACCAACAAGCCCCAACCACCACACCATCAACACTACCACAACCACCACTCCCATCTACATATTACCACAAGCACCACGCCAACAAACCAAACCACCACATAGCAACCCACATAGGCCACAAACCACTAATAGCAACCCATCAAAGAGAATGGCCGCAAAACACCAATAGTCACTCACATAGACATTGGCCGCCAAACACCAATAGCCACCCACATACTTCAATTCCTCCACAAAGTAAAGCCAAAAACAGCAGACATCATCACCAGAATAATGTAAACTTTAATTCCTCCATAGAGAAAAGCCATAAACCGCAAACATCATCACCAGAAAGTTGAATGCTTCAATTCCTTCATAGAGAAAAGCTACAAACCACAAACATATTCACAAACAATCAAAATTAAATAGAGCATTACCAAAACAACAAAGATCAAAGGGCCAAAATTTCAAAGAGCTAAGGGCCAAAACCAAAGGGCCAAAACAACAACGATCACAAAGAACCAAAATTCACAAAAAGGAAAAAATGCAACCGGACATTACCCCCATTTGAAAGCACATATTCATAATTTTCCATAGAGCATAACCACAACTTAAAAACAACTAGCTCGAAGTTACAAACTGCAAAAAACAATATGCATAATAACAAAAGAGATGGTAGAAGTTACCAGAGGGCAACAGAGAATTAGGGGAACCAACCAAGAAAGCAGTGAAGCCGTTTTCCCACCAGGAGAGAGGATGAGCAAGTACCCAGAGAAGAGGCATGAGAGAGGAGTAAGGAGAGCTACGCAGAGGAGATGAATTTCCCAGGGTAGAGGTGCGAGAGAGGAGAAAGGGGAGTAGGAGAGGAGTTACCTAGGGCCAGCGTCGCGATTTGGGTGAGGAGTTAGGGTAGAGACGCGAGAGAGGAGGAAAATACCACATAGTTTTGTAATAAGCCAACCGAAGAAACACGGGCCTCAGTCTGCGTTTCATGAAATTATTGAAATAAACTGCCGCACCGCGAGCGTTTTCAAAATGCGTTTTCGAAAAGCACTATATATCTGCTCCACAAACTAGTATCATTGCATTTTTTGTGAGTATAGCTTGTTTGCCACACCAGCGAGAAGGGAAACTTGAGTGCACTAAGGGAAACTTGAGTGCACTGGTCTTGTAATTGTATGTCTGATCTTCCATTTTGTTTTCTTAATAGGTGCCTGAAAATGTTGCATTGGAATCCGGAGAAGATACATACTATGCAGCATTGAATGTCGGTTCAGGGAGGACTAATGCAGTGGTAACTTTATTCCTGGAAACATGCACTTATTTTACTATCAATGCTTTTAACCTTGTAATTTGTTAATCATTTTTTTAAAATTTGCCAATTATATTGGGTTTTTAGATGCGAGCATAGGCCCTGATGTGAATTTTGCAAAAAATCGTGAATTGAATGCAAATTTTGAATTTTACTAGTCCCAAGTCTCCAAGTGATGGAGGACATCTTTGGTTCCCGTTTTTATGATGCATAAGAAAACACAAAAAAGTCAAAATTTGAAGTTCACCAACTCTTAGGTACGTAAAAGCTTTCTCTTTTAATGGAAATCAGAATATATATAAAACTCCTTCCAAATGATTATTTAATGATCTTACAAAATTAGAATTTTGCAAAAATCTGAGATCAAGCAAACAATGTGATGATTAAGATTCACACCACTTGAAAGAAACTTGATTATAACATACTTGACCAATTCTCATTCACATACTAATTCAATTACGAATTGGTTAGATGAAAAAGAACGAGTATAACAACCATCCATTTCTTTCTATGCTAAAGGCGAAAGCTTTTGTTCAAAAGTTATTATTAGATTTGTATTGCATTTTGAATACTTCACATCAAACTAGCACATGCAATTTTGAGAAAAAAATTGGAATTTTATTACCATTGAATGATTTTTATATGATTAGAGAAGATTCTTATTTATAATCAAAATTAGATCTGTAATTTGTTGTCCTAAAAAATCTCAAAATTTTAAGATAAGGAAATTTTGAATTTACAAGGAGTCACTAGCCCGATTTCCCACTATAGTTGCAAGTATATATTTCATCAATCAGTAGTTTTCTGAACCTCGTTACAATATACAAATCACATATGGAAGGAAGCCAACTTGCATCTGATACAGTATAGGGCGGACATATCGCAGCATATCTAACAACAACCTATAAGAAAAATAAAACACTGGAGAACCACAGGCAGTAAATCAGTACCAATAACAAAAGTGAAATTGTCACAATTTAAATGTTGTAAAACATCATATAAGTCGAAACCAATCAGCAAAGGATAAATATAAGACGCATTCAACAATTATGAAACAAGCAATCAATGACTATCTAGTAAGTGACCATTGGCTGTTAGCGGGGATTTGACTACAACATTTATGCCTGCTCACCAATTTTGTGACAACTGAGACATAGCCTAGAGGTAGTAACCTTCCAGATTACTGACTAGATTGAAGACCTTGATGTGCTCCATAGGGAATGATAAATAATCGAACAAGGAATGCAATTCAATGTATACTTCTAAATTTGCATCATTTTTTCAGTTTGTAAAAATTTGGCTTTAACAAATCAAGAAAATCATGGCTTAGTTGTGTTGTAAGTATGCCCATCATTGTAATGCACAATATACTTGAGTACCTCTAATAAGTCCTATCAACAATGAAAACATCTTTCTCTTTTAGAATTGCTTTCGGAACAAAATGAATGGATATTTTACTAAAGTGCTTGGTGTGAATTTATAACGAGGAAATAGAAAGAGATCAATCTAAATTATTTTTAAACAATTCATGAAATGAAGTCAAGTTAAATATATACAAGACTTGATTAATATCACAATTTGTCAAAATTTTTAATTTATAAGTATCTGAAGTCATTCCTGTCTTGCATTTAATCTCTTAAAAGCTACTTTAGGAAACCTCATGGGATTCAGATGTACCATTGTCTTTTCATTTGGTTTGCATTTCACGTATTTTGTTCGCATCAGTTGTAGACTTATTTTTATTGCAATCAACAATCAAATATTGTGAATATCTTTTGTTAATCATGTAGATCAAGCTAATGACTAGTATTATATGGGGTAAGATATGAAAATGATACTTTCTATGCATCAGAAGTGATGATGATTGAAATATATGATCAAGTCCAGAAAGCTGAGATGATAAAGAAAAATCAAAAGCAACCAAATGACGTAGATTTTCTATACTAATATAGATGGATAATCCTTTTCAAAATTCAACCAAAACGGTTTTAAAGTTAGTAGTGATGAATTATAAATTCTTATTTTCATCTGGATAGTTGCAGTTTTAAATTGTAGTTTTCTTTTAAATCATTAATTGTAAAAAAAACCATTGAACTATTGGCATAGTTTTACTCTCTTCCCATGGTTTTTGCATAATCAAGTCCAGAAAGGTGAGTTGATAAAGAAAATCAAGCAACCAAATGACGTAGATTTGCTATACTAATATAGATGGACAATCCTTTTCAAAATTCCACCAAAACGGCTTTAATGTTAGTAATGATGAATTATAAATTCTTATTTTCATCTGGATAGTTGCAGTTTTAAATTATAGTTTTCTTTTAAATCATTAATTGTAAAAAAAAACATTGAACTATGGGCATAGTTTTACTCTCTCCCCATGGTTTTTTTTATGAATATAAGTCAAGAAATCAAGAAATAAAATAAAACAGTTCCTTCACATGAAGTATCAAACTTCCTCTCATTATTATTATTATTATTATTATTTATTATGGTTAGAGGAGTTGGATAAGGGAAACTATGGGCAGCCCATTGGTTTGTATTCCATGTAAAAAAATAAATAAATATTTTCTATTCATGCATTTATGATAGCATTGCATGTAAATTCTTTCTTGAAAAAATTCCCGTCTTTTTTGCATTTCTAATTTTAGTTCATCTTATGCCTGGGTGAATTTTTGAACTGTTCTTGTCCATTTTAGACATTTTAAACCCATTGGCCTTGGTTGTTTTCTTTGGAAAATAGCTGGTAGTTGAGTACATTTTGTTACGGTTATGGTTTGTCAAATTGATTGTTTGTAATGTTCCATGTGCTATCCGTCATTGTTATTGTGTTTGATCAAGTTGAATGCCATTACTTTGTGGCACATTTGTGTTGGTCAATACTGTTTTTCTTAGAAAATGTCGTTTGTTATAGACTCAAAGTTCATTTAAAAAGTGCTCATGATCAAGAATAGAACATGTACTAGGTTAATAAGATCAATAAGGCTTTTTAGGATACATAGCATAGACATGCAAAATTCTTTTGTTAGTATTGTGGCTCATATAATTATTATATGCAAATTTTTTAATAGGAAGTTATGTATCTCATTTTTAAGTGAGATTGTTTTTCTAGCTGGATTTCCTTGCAAACTCAAGTATATTGCTTGAAGAGCTAAAATACTCTAGCTTAATATAGATGAAGTTTTATCGCAAAACACAATCGAACTTTCATGAATCGATATTGTCGCAGATGTGAGATTCACACTGTGAATTTGGCTGTTGTTTCCGCTCTTTCCATTAAATCCATTTGATCTTGCTGCATGCCTTTGATATCCTAGCTTGATTTGATCTTGAAGGATTTTGGCCTGGGTTATAATTAGGGGCTTTTGTGGCTTTGTAAAACAGATATGGGGGCTTCTTTTTTTAATTTTTATTTGTGTAGGTTGGTGGGTGTATTTTGTGGGTAAGTATTTAGAAATGGGGTTGGATTGATTTTTTTTTGTGTAAGATGGGAATATAATATGTAAGGATGATGAATTTGTGATAGGGTTTATTGATTTTGTCTTTGATATCAAATCATGTTGATTATAAATAATTAAAGTGTATTTTTTGGGAGGGAAAAATAATTATTCCTCTTCACTTTCTTAGAAAATGATTATAAGATAATTAGAGCAGGTTGACTCTAACATTAGGAAAGTAGTAAGATTAACCACAACTCAACATAGTAATAGAAGGAAACGAGAGTTATGACATACCCATAATTCTAACCTCTAAAACTAGAAAGTACTAATAATTTAAAATACTAAAACTAAAAACTTCCTAAAAATCCCGCCCCCCCTCCCCCTCGCCCTCACTCCGCTCAAATTGGAGCATAGATATCTATCATGCCCAACTTGCCTGTATAGTCCTTTGGTGGTGAAGGTATCTGCTATTTGTTGAGTAGTTGGGATAAATGTTATACAAATAGCTCTGCAATCAATTTTTCTTTTGTAAAGTCTCTACCAATCTTTACATGCTTTGCACGAGCATGCTGCACTGTTTATAATTGCTTTATTGTCACAATATAACTTCATTGACATTCTTATCGGGATCTGCAACACTTCACGATTTCATTTCAACCATAACATCTCACATACTTTATTAGCTATAGATTTATATTTTCGTCAGCACTACTCTTGCAACCACATTCTGTTTCTTCACCATGTAACTAAGTTTCTTCACACTTAGTTGCAATATCTAGAAGTTAATCTCCTGCCAATAACTGAGCTTGTCCAATCTACATCAGTATATGCCTCTATACTCTTTTATGTTTTCTTCAGAAAAAATTAATTTTTTGTTGGTGTACCTTTTAAATATCTAAAAATTCTATTAACTGCTTCAAGCTATTTTTCATAGGGTGAATACATAAATTGACTTATCAACCTCGCAACAAAGTAACATCTGCCCGTGTATGTATAAGTATATCAACTTTCTTACCAATTTTTGATACCTAACTGTATTCACTAGATCACCTTCCTTCCCATCTCCTATTTTTTATTTGAGATCAATTGGAGTGTTTGCAGGTCTATACCACTTGTCCCAATTTCCTTGATAAGATTAAGAACATATTTTGTTGGGAGAAATTAATTACTTTCTTTGATTGAGCAACCTTCATGCCAAGGAAATACCTCAAAGATCCTAAGTCCTTGGTTTGAAATGGTTTATCTCATATGCATCATTTCCATGAATTATGCTTTTGCGTTAAAAACAAAAAAGATACAAAACTATGCATGTATGCATCCATGATTTGCAAAAGTGACCCCTATCATTAACAGGTTTTGAGGAGTGTTCTCTTTCACTATCTACATGCAACAAAATAAACGAACCACTAAGAGCACGCTCTGCACAAAAATGAGCGGCCCTATAGTTTAACTTGATGTATGCAAAAATAAAACTTGTCTAAAGTTCAACCAAAAGGCTAAGTCTAGCATCTTGTGGTTGGTGTTTCCAAGACTTTGCATTGCTGA